AAAGTGCTAAATTGAACAATTGATATTTTCGACAGACAAAGCAATGACAGTATTGCTGATTACATGTTACGATAAAATTTGGAGGTGCGCCTTAATTGGATTTTTTAAAGTTGCAACCTTATAGAAACCACACCCATTTAGTAAATAAATAAAGTAGGCATTGATTATTAACATAAGGACCTGGTTTTTATGAGTTCCCTGACTCATACTATTTCCATGTGGGCTCCCTTGAACATCCATTATTTGTATCAATCTTGGATACAAATTTGCAGTGATCCATGATCTACACTATGATGATCATAAATATAAAAATTAAAATATATTAAAATAAAATTTTAAAACATTATTAGAATATTTTCCTCTTCATTGGATAATAATATTTAGTCGTAGATGTTCATCTTGAAGATGGACGTTTGTGATTGTGCAGGCTAGTGAGTCCGCTGACTCACAAAACATTTTTTCTTAACATAATCCAACTGCTTGAATATGGAAAAGTGAACTCATCTAATTAACCTCAACTCCTCAAATGAAACATAATCAAATCAAAGAGAGGAAAAAAAAAAAACACTAAGAAAAAACTATCCGAAGGATGGAACATCATTAAGTAGTTCAAGGAGAAAAGAAACTACCCCAAAATAGTATTTTAAAGACCTCTTGAACATATACAACCTTACTAACTAATTAGGGAATTTTTGTTTTTTTCATTCGAAATAAATCATTGGACCATGGGGAAAGTTTTCCTACATAAGACTTTCTACAGTATAGTACCACATAATGTAGGCATGTTCTACATTAAATGCTTATCCTAAATGGACGGTGGGGATAGAACCGTGGAAGGAACCCTAGTGATGAGAGAGACAAGAGAGAAATTGTAGGAGTCAAATTTTCACCACCCATCCTCAATGAATGAAGGGGACACATGGTATATGCACTTATGATATTTAGCATATTATCGAAGTTTCATGCCAGGCCATAACCTTTTAATATTGACTAAACCGTTAAATTCTAGTGGTCCTTTAGTACACAGATGGGCATAGAATCTATCATTTTAGTCCTTGTAACCTCCATGGACCCCTTTCTTGAAATAAGTTGGGGTGCATATTTCCCCTTTTGCTTGTACATAGCAAACCGTGTTTTTTTTTCTTTTTTTCTTTTTTAAATAAATGTTGATTTTTTTTTTTGGTTGGTTCGATGGGGTCTCTCACTATCCGTGTAGGAAAAATCGAATGGGGACAGTTAACCAGACATGGGCCCGAAAGCTGTTCAACCAACCTAATTGGTAAATCGGCATGTTCAACTGTTTTAACTGGACAAGTCTCGAGTGATAAAAAATTATTAAAAAAATTACAAAAAATCTAATAAAATATGAAAAGTATTAAAGAGTGATTAAACAAAGCACATCCAAATGAAGTTGAAAATTAATGAAAAAAATGGATTTTAAATAATCGATTTATGCATGGGGTATTTTTGAAATTTTTCAAGAAGATGGGAAAATGTAACAATAAGTATTAATGGCCAAAACAATTTCCAATATTTTTCATAATGATAAAAAAATATTAAAAAATACATTACAAACAAAATCCCTTATTTTTTGGGATTTTATATTATTTTTTGGGATTTTATATAATTTTTTTTAATTTTTTGTTAAACATACCTGGTCAGCCATCAAAACCGGCCAAAACCGAATCTAAATGAGTAGTTACCGATTAGAACGCATGATTTTTCCTTCAATGCTTACCGTAATAAGAATAGAAATCAAAGACATCATATTGTAATGACCGACCATCCTAATCACATATCCTTGAGCCCATTCCTACCTAGAAATAATACTTTGTAAGAAACAAATCAGACAATTCGAGTTGGATTGCCAAATTTTGAGCCTCATGAATCACTTGGTGAGAAAAAGGAAAATACAAAAAAAAGCAAAAAAAAAAAAAACAGCCTCAACCCTGCAGGCACCTAATAAGAAAGAAAAAATGGCCCCCTACTCGCAAATAACCTAAATCCAGACATCCAACGCATGATTCCCAAAGACTTGGGATATCACTTGGCCGATTCGGATCCAGATTAACAATGTATAACTTCGTATATGTTTGGAAAGTTATCCGAAGGAAAACCATTTGAACCCCCTACCTTGAATTTTCGATCCTTTTAACATTTATTATTGTGCTATAATCATGTTATTGTTTTTCTTTGCATTGACGCTAGGGTGAATTTTTAGGTCTTGAACAAATATGTCATTGTCGGTCAAATACAAAAAAATTAACTCTAAGCCCATTTTGACTTTGGAGGAAGTTCTTGGAGTTGAGTTCCATTATGTCCGCACGGGTCGAACTGGTTTTAAATTTAAAACTTTTGTGTTTGATTGATAAAGGTATTTTTATACAAGATAACCTAAAAATTTCACTTTGGAGTCAATGCAAAAGAAAATAGTAACAAAATCAATAATGTGAATTAAAAAATGGAAAATTATTTCATGCGGGCTGGATCGCATTTTTACAATATGTAGTCCAAGGTATAAAGCATCAATCTTAAAGATGGATGCAAATTGGTGGTCCATCAAAAAACAATTGAAACTAACAATCCAAACATTTTTTTAATACAATTGTTATTTCTAATTTTTAAAAATTATTTATTTTTCATATTCACGGTCTCCATTAGAGACTACATGTCTTTAACAATTAAGTCTAAAAATCCATCTAAAAAATAGATGTTTAATAGGTGACTCATTTCTACATGGATTCATAAGAACCGTGTCCTTTAAAAAATATTAGAAAACTGTAATATAGCTCAAGGGAATTTACGTGATTTCTCTTTATTTAAAATAAAGCAAAATACCAAATACAAAGGTTGGGTTAAAATACGTCTCTAGCCAATATGTTTATATGTTTTATTCAGTGTTTAAAAAACTGCAAATACGGATAAGATAAATGTCAATTTGGATAAGAATCATCTGAATCGATTTTTAAGGAACCAGTCGGGTTTACTCTATTATATATCAGGAACCAAGCGATTGCTGGTAGGAACTAGCCTGTTCTTTGGCATAACTTGCAGTTTCTGTTAGGGAATGACTGGTTCCCATTGATTTTATTTTTTTATTATAAATTTTAGTTTCTATTTTTTCAAATTCTTTTATTTACTAGAGACCTCACATTTCTATGTGGATAGCCCCACACACACTGGGTAGAATGGAACAATATTGTCAAATTCACTTCGTTTCGGCTTAAGAGGTCGAAGCCTTCAGATTTGAGGCTTAAACCGAAGAGAAGCGAAGCCTTGTGCTACCGGTTTGGTTAGATTAGAGACTTAAACCGAAAAGAAGTAAAGGTTGGTGCTACCGCTTTGGTCAGATTCGAGCCACTTGGGAGCCGCTTAGGTCGATTCAGGTCTGCTTTAAGCCGTTTCAGCTAAAGCTTCGATCTAAACAAAGTAAAATCTATATAAAAGTTTTTTTTTTCTATTTTTTATTACTTGTATATATTTTATTTATAAATATATAATTTCATTCTATTAAATAATAAAAAAATTCAAAATCTTCTTCCCAGATAGCCAAAACACCTAATCGTTTTATTTTTCACATTGAATCAAAGAAAGCTCGAAAGCGAATATGAGAACATTGATTTCATCCAATCTTACGATTGCGTTTTTGCGCCTGTAGGCAAACATTTACTGTTTTACCCTGGTTGTTTCCCGCTGCTACGTGGTTGGTGGACCGTACGTTTTGGTCATTTTCCCAAGCGACAAAGTGCATCTCCATTTCCTCCTTTTTCTATGGCAAAGATGGTTGTGCCCCCTCCCCGCAATAACTACACTGCTCCCTACCTAATGACCATAATAACCCGCTATTTTTCCTCACATGACGATAATACCCTCACTTTCTTCCACAATGACTAGAATAACCTTCGAGGTTTTTAAGAAGACCATATTACCCCCATATCCGGAGTGCGCGTAAAAAGCCCCACCCCACTTCCCGGTATTGACCGTCGTGGATGCCAAGTCAGCACCGGCCTGCGCCCCAAAGTGGGGCCCACAGTGACGCCACTTATGATAAGCTCGTTAAGTAAGGGGCGGGGCATTATTCTGCCAAGTCCAATACTTGAGCGACACGTCGCCCTGCGGCGTCCGGCCTTTAACCGCGCCGTGCCTTCTATCATTGGCGAGCGAGTCTTTTTTTTTATCGATGCACAGCGCACGCGCATCCACCCACCACTAGAAGAATGCCCGAAATGCCCCCCAATTCGTTGATATTTGCTTCCCGCATGAGAACACACTGTACCCTTCTTCAAGAAAAAAAATAAAGACAACTACATCCTCTTATTTGAAAATCTTGTGCTCCTTATTGAAAATCGTCGATTTAAATAGAAAATCGTCGATTTAAATGGAAAATTTGTCCAGAACAACTTGTTTTTTTTATTTGTGAGTTTGTTTAATCATAAGCCGTTGATTCAAATGGGGGAATCAATCCCAATCAACCTGTTTTTTTTGTTTGAATTTGTTTGGTTTCTATCGACATGCCAAGTTTTATCTGGGAACTAGACATGTCTGTTAGAGAATCAAGTGGTTTGGATTGTCCGTGTAGCTCAATTATGATATGGTGATCCAAATTGGGGATGAGCGATAGGTGATCCAAATTGGGGATGAGCGATAGGACCGCATTTTTTGAATGGTAAGTTCAATAAGCCAATTTAGTTTTTTAATCATCGCATAAAACAAATAAAATCATAACAAAAAAATAGAAAGGGGAAACATCAACCAACCAACCAACCAACCAACGGCTCGATTAGCGCGGTCCAGGTACTTCCAAGCTATTCAACATAAAAAAATGAGTACTTCCAGGTCCTTCACACGTCTTTCGAACAAATAATTGGGGTTATTTCGGTCACATCTCAGCATATTTTGTCAACTACAAAGGACCACACTGTAATTCTAGCTGAACATAGGGTTCGCTTTAGTCCTGTCTCCTAATTAAGGTGTCTTTTGACTCTTCGAAGTAACTAAAATAAATTCTTCTGTCCTTGTGCCTGGAGATGACCCAACCCCGATCAAACCTATCTCTCTACCCCTCTCGTCTCTGTCACTCTCTCTTTCAACCGCCGATAAAGACGACCGGGAAACAGCGGATTCCGGCGTAAAGCTTGCGAACCTCTCCGTTTCTGTAAAAATCCGGCGAAAAAGGGCCAAAACGAGTACGTATTGCTGAAGTTAATGTCGTTGGAAGCTTTTTTGAAGCAAATGCCAGCAAGACTTGCAGAGTGACCCCAAAATACAGGAATTCCATTGATTTATCGTAGTAGATCTGGTTTTCTAGGGTTTTAAGCGATGTATATCTGGGAAAGCTTCTTAATCTATGGTCTATTTTTAGATCGAAGGAAGCTTCGTTGAAAATGGAGCAGGATCCAGAATTTATGGTTCTCATATGTCAAATCCCTAATTTTTAGTGGATTTAGTTTTTTTTGGATGGTAGATAGATCTGTGGTTTCGTTGGATTTTTTTCAGGATCTGATGGTTATGCGTTAGCCTGGGCTATTGACTTTATTTACTGGGTCAGTTTAGGGCAAAAGGAGTGAAATTGAATCTTTTCATAGCAGGAGTGAGAGTTTAGAGGTTTTAGGGTTTTGGCCATGGCTAATGTTCAGAAGTTGCCTCATTCTAGTATTAGCACAGCTAGTAGTTATGGTTCTTGTAGGGGTGAAGGTGTTCCAGATCAGTTCCCAGCGGGGCTTCGAGTTCTTGTGGTTGATGATGATACCACTTGTTTGAGGATATTGGAGCAGATGCTTAGGAAATGCATGTACAAAGGTATGTTTCGTAACATATTTTTACTCTGGTTTCTAAGATCTCTTTTATAAGGCCCCTTCTTTGTAAGGGGAATGCAAAATCTTGACCCATGGCCAGTTGTTATGTAATCTCTGTCTGATATTGAAGTGTGATGCACGGCTAGTTGGCTTCCTCTCTCTCTCTCTCT